TGATTTGATCAAGCCTGTACGAGCGAGTGCGTTATGCCAATTATTTTAACTAAATTTTTGTTACCTTCATTGCTTTTACGCTCTCACCAGCATGACTGTACTTCTTGCATGCAAGGTGATAAAGCCCTTGAGCATCGCAGCACTCTGCTAGAGTTAAAATCGTTTGCTTGTAATGTCCAGAATCACTATGTGACGACTTTGCACTAAAATGCTCCGCAATTTTGTCCGTGACAGTGGCTCCCTTGATACACTATAACAAACCAGTTATCCACCATATGGCGAAAAGTCACAAAAGCTTACGTGTTCTAGAGCACGATCGTGTTCTTTTGCGGCAATATAAAGAATAACTGCTTTCTCAACCTGATTATTTGACATAAGATAATCTCCGCACCTGTGAAAGTGGCAACCAAAACCAAAGTTTAGTAGTAAATATTATTTCAACACCTTGCAAGAAGAGCTGGATCGGCACTTTCGTCAAGGTCATCAGCAATTGACTGTAACGCATCAAATAAATGTAAGCATATACAAATATCAACAGCTTTTTTATATTCGCCACCCTGTAATATACACAAAGATGTCTATGAATGACAAATGCACTTCCAAACCTTCTGATACAGCAAAACAGCCTCTTCGTGCATTCCTTTGTTTTCATAGTATCTTCCAGAGCGAACCATTAAATCTTTAGAGCTCTGCAGTTAGAATTTGGAAGGGTTAATTAATGACAGCAGTAATTTACCTGCAGTGAAAGGGAAAGAAGTTCGTTGTCGAACCCATGCTCCATGGCTAAGTTTGCTGCATAACAAAATTTACCTGCTCTTGAAAATAGTTGGATGGCCTCTTCAATGCTTTCATTTCGTTTAAGCTGTGAGAAGAACAAGTATGAAGTAAATAAAGGGAATGCTGGTACCTCACGTGCAATCTGAAACATTGCAGGTTTATCATTGAAACTTAAAGCAGCGTCTGCAGCCGCTTTATAGTCACTGAAATAGCAGTGAACCCGGACAACAGATGCAATGTCTCCAGCCTAAAATATGGAAAATTTGAAAAACGGAAGGGAAAGAGGGACATCATACAGCTGTATAATATTCAATGGCTTTGGAAAAGTTGTCATTGACTTCACAAAAATGTGCCCACCATTGTTGTAGTGAAGAGTCTTTGATACGTTTAACATATAATTCAAGCTCTTCTAACAGTTGAAGGGAGAACAACATACGAGGAACCTCATATCTGCAATCAGGGTCATTTTAAAACCCATACAATCTAGACAAAACCTGTGTGTGTCTGAAAGCTCGTAATGTTTTATTGCTCCTTTTATATCATTCATGCTTTCTAAGTACTTTGCGTACGCATGATGTGTGGGTTTTAAATGCAAAAAGTCGTGACTAGAAGCAAGTTGCAATGACTTCTCCCAGTTTAAACATGTCTGCTGCAAGTGAATCTATTATCGGTGAATAAAACTTGATTTAAACCTGATAAAAGAAATTCAAAAGGTCGTAGCGTTGAAAGCGTTTGTACATGATCTCTACATCATCAAGGAGCCCAAGCCTTGTTGCCACACAGGCCAAATTTTGCAATTCATCCTAAAAAAAACGTCATTCAGCCTAAACAGATGAGAATACTGACCTCCGTCCATCTGGGCAGCATACTTGCTTCTATCTTTGCCACACAATAAAGTGCAGGCTCGAGAACCTTGGACTTTGTGTAAAAGCGCGCTAGGCTCTTACAAATGGATTTATCTTCTATGCAGTCAATTGCTTCTTCTGCTTCTCTGGTTTCACCACAGGCAATATTATAAAGCAATTTTTGTAGTCTATCTCTCACTTGATTATCCAGGTCCACCTGTCGGGAGTGAGAATAAAAAATTGTATAGTGGCTTCATCTTTACCATCTCTTGAAAGAACGGCATAGGTATCCTTTGATATAATTTTTCTACGTGATCTTCAATATTGAGATCAGAACTGGTCAGATACATATAAGGAGAGAATAGTCCCAACAATTCGCTTTTACTGTCGAGGCTTATCTAAAGACTATAATTAATATTAATTGGTCATACTTATAGACTTACTTGGCATTGAGAGAGTATGCCCCGCTCTGAAGATACAGATAGGATGTTCAATTCCTGCAAGTTTTCTTCGAAATTCTGCAAGAAAAAAAGATTAAATACTATACAGAGAAACTACTAACTACCATTGTTTCACATGCAAGTAAATTGGGATCTTCCATGTCCCAGAAATGCGTCACAGGCAGTGCTCTTGATGATCTCATTGAAACACTAGTTTACAAGACAAGAATAGAAATACCTGAGGTCATAACTAATAACTATGTCGAGAGATGTGTCGTAGACATATATATGCACATCAAGGTCTGTTTTTTTCAGTATAAGGCTTAGTTTGCTTCCATTGCAGTTACACCTAAGTGAAACATAGGGGATATTTTGAATAGCCTAGATGAAGTGTCAGCGGATGGTAGAAGAGTAGGCACTGAAAAACCTTAATGCGTGACCCTCCGCTCGGAATAAGATCTGTACCCTCCATTCTCCATAATCGAATGTAACCATTAGATGTAACCTGCGTAGCACTAACAGTTAGAGCGTTAACAAACCATACTGCCCTACCAATGCAAGAAAATCGTCGCAACAGTCTAGCGAGACTCCCCTGCCTTCACGTTCATCAACATACATCACCCTCAGAGTAATACCCTATGAAAGTTTCTTCTTTTATGTATTGAAATACAAGAGCGAAAAGGAGTGAAGTGTACCGTGCAAGAAATGACTTTTACAGTTTCCTCGTCGCTGTAGTACAAATTGTTGTTATGAATAGCCATAGAAGCATTGCCTACTATCTTTACCATCGCACAGCTTCCTGATTCTGCAGACATGAGAAATTTAGAAGAGAAGTTATGCGGTTTGCACAGACCAAGCACAAATACATAAGCTTCGTCTTCCGTCCAAATCAGAGCCCTTTCTGCACAGGCATCAAGACCTTTGATGGAAGCTGGAACAGAAAGAACCTGACGCTTCTGGAGAAACAAAAACATCATGTACATCCGAAAACTAACTCTTACATTGGTTCCGTCCAGAGAAAATGTTACAGCCTGTAGAGCTGAAATTTGCATAATTGAAACATGTTTTCGCATTCGACAGAGAGCTGTCATTGAGAAACCCTAAACGATCCCAACTCTAGCAGAGCATAACTAAACAGTAAAATTTACGTGATGAAGCTCCACACAGGCGGGACGGTGGAATCCATTCAGAGTTTAGCAGCTGGAATCCTGTCATTCACTGGATGAGTTTAAAGGTGCTGTTAGGGGGAAAATTGTGTAGCTGTTCTTTTCGTTTTGTATTTGCTAGCAAATAATACGGTACACCAAAAAGAAGCTATTAGGAGGAA